GTGATTCTGTAACTTTAGGGGCTGAAAGGTTCCTTAGCCTGGTACTCACTGCTGCAGGCTGCTGCCTGCTCTGGGTGTCAGCACAGCTCCTGCACCAGAGCTGCTCAAGAGAGAGGAGCCCAAACAGTGCAGAGTGGATATCAGAGGGTCTCTGTTGTTTCAAGAACTCCTAACCCTGTTGATGAAGCATGATTTTGCAGGAGCTTTTGTGATACCACAGTTTCAGAAGCAGACTTCAGGTAAAAAGATATGAAAATGCAGCAATGGGAAGAAAGTCACCAGGAGCGAAAACCAACCCCACTCCCTGCTAACTCTGCAAGGTTGGAAGCTCTGCCAAAATCAAATGGAACAGGGTAATGACAGTGAGTGTTTGTCACTTCCAGAGGATGAACTGAAGTTTTCACCGTGCTCACAGCCACGTCTGGAGTGCAAAGAACGCTGCCAGTCACCCTCCGGGGTTGTCAGCACAGGGACCGGCACAAGTGAGATATTCCAGATTTAGGGAAAGAATTAAAATCGTAGCAGACAGCAGGTACAACAGATACCTGCACACTTACAATCCTAAGTGCAAAAAAATGCATGTCTGTCACCTACTGCTTAACAGCCCTGGCATGGCAGGTACTTGGCTTGCAAGCATCATCTGGCTGGGAACGTCACAAACCACTCTACCTGACAAGGCATCTCCCTTTAGACATCTGGTTTGTGGAAATCTCTTTATGACAGGGAACATGACAGCTCTGAGCAAACCTGGGCTTGGCTGGGAAATATCAGCATTGACAGGACTTTCCTTCCTGGGGACTGTCGTGGTTTTGCCCACCAGCCCATCCCTGGGGCTGAGGATGGTTTTGTCCAGGTGATTTCCGGACAAAAAAACCAATCAAAAAGTTCAGTGACGCCTTTGCTAATTACATCTTTAAGAAAACGGAAGAGAAGGTTGTGGCGCAGTTGAAATTAAGAACAGCAGCCATGTAGAAGGGTAGCGGGCCCGAGGAGGGCCAAGGCCTCCTCCTCCCCCGGCTTGGGCCGGGGTGGGGGGGTAGGTGTAGTACTGCAAGCCTCCCTTCTCTCTTGTGAGAGAGTGAAGAAAAAAAAAAGGTTTAAAAGACGAACTGCTTAGATGAGAAACCGCTGCAGAAGAATTCCAGCCATGAGATAACAGAATTTTCAAGGTCAAAGCTGCAGTCACAGAAGAGAGAAGAAAAGTTCGAAGGGGGGAGAGCTGCTTTTTCTCCTTTTCGCTCTCCCTCCCTTCAGCAGGGTAAAGACTGAAAAATAAAATCCCTGCCACCTGTAGAAGTTTGTTGGGGTGAAGAGACCCCCCATGCGGCTCACAGAGGAGCTTGTGGATGCACCAGAGATTTGTAACTTTAACAGAGAGAAAGCCTTATGCTGGAGTAAAAGCGGCTCAGATGAGGCAGAATCCTGTTGAAGATTTATGACCCTGAGGGGGATGACGACCTACGCTGGAACAGAGAAACGGTTCGGGTAGGGATGTTGGGATCCATGTGTGGGATCCGTGCTGTTGGTGTTAAAGATTTGTGACCCTGAGAGAACCTACGCTGGAGCAGAAAAACGGCTCGGGTAGGGATGTTGAAGATTTATGACCCTGAGGGGAATGAGAGGACCTACTCTGGAGCAGAAAATGGCTCAGGTGGGATATTGGGATCCGAGCAAGGGATCCAAACTAGACCCATGCCGAGAAGTCAATCAAGGACTGTTCTCCCATGGGGAGGGACCTCCATAGGGAAACAGGGGTGAACTCTTAAACCATTATCCCCTGTAACCCTGTGGAAGAAGATCCATAGTAAGCAAGTGTCCCCTTGCAAGCCTATGGAAGGAAACCCTTCAGGACCTGGGTAACCCCCAGCCTTCGGTTTTAACCCAGGAGGGGGGTAGACCCAGCCCTGGAGGTCAACACAGAATGAGAGAGAGATAAAGAAGTTCCAGCTGCAACGAAAGTGCTGCAGAGTTACTGGAGAGAGAGAGAGAGCTGGAATTCCGAGAATGGAAAAGGACTGCTTCTCCTCCTTAGACTGATATAAAGAGAGGTGGAGGGAGAAGTATCTTCTGTAAATACATAATACCTTTTACTTAAGTAAAATTATTGTAAATATAATTCTTTAGTTTTAGTTTGTTAATAATAAATACTCATACTTTTTTTCAATTCAGTCTCTTTTTGTCTGCATAAACCTTCTCTCAACTAATAGTAATTGTATGGGAGGTATAAAAGTAAATTGAACCAGGGCAAAACCACGACAGGACACAGAAGGACTGAGAGGTGGGGAAAAATCAGAGAGTCCAGTCGGCAAGTGCATGGGCTAGACTGTGCACTGGAGCCAATGACTTCTGCAGATGCACAAAGCAGGACTTGTTCACAAATCTCATCACATCAGAGTCCGTTCCTCACAAACTGTGCTGATATTACTGACACCGAAAAGATGAAATTTTAGCCAAAAAGAACCAAAGTTTGAAGAAAACCCAAGGATGATTCCTGCTTTCAGAGTAATAAACGTTTCAGCCAGGAGAAATTCTACAGTGACAAAGTTCGGACAACCTTCCTTTTTTTTTTTTTTTTTGTCATAACCATGAGAGGTAAAACTTGCTTTTTTCCCTCTGTACTGCACATTTGGCTTTGCTGCTTCAGAAAACTGTGGATTCTGGACTCGGATACCATTGAGAGGGAAGAGTATGAGATTGGTGCAACAGTGATCAGACAAAACATCCAGAAATAACACAAGCAAGACATGGAAAAGGTTTTGTTTCAAATTAATGTAAGAATTACCAGTTACTGGTCACTAACACACTACAGTGATGGCCATAAACCTCCTATTTCTTTAAAACCTTTAAATAAGCCCAAGAAAGCACCAGATATGCAAAGCCTTCCTCCTATGCACAGGCTTAAGATTAAAATAATTAACATTTTAGTGACTATATTTTCACTCAATTCCTAAATAATAACAGCTGTGAGAAGTAACAATGTTAGTGCACATTCATCCTCATTTTAGCTCTCTTGACTCCTGTGATTAGTGAGGAAGAGGTATTTGCCTATTAAGATAAGCTAAATATATGTAAGGATGATTGTTTCATAACAATTTAAACCACAAAAAAAAGTCTGCCTTTCATCTGCAGATGGGGCATGCACTGATATACCACACAAGCTCTAATTATCCACTTAGGATTATAATTACAGGGATTGTCTCAGGCTGCCACTCACTCGCCTTCAAGACTCTTAGTGCTGAACTGTTTACATCCCCTGTATTCAGCCACAATACTGGATACCAGCTACACCTGCAAAGCTTTCATCATTAGCACCAGTGTGGAAACAGCACATCCAAACAGTTTGATGGGTTTGTGTGGAAATCCCGAGTTTGGACCACAGGCACTTCAATAAAGTCTACTAGGGGCTCTCCACCTACTGCAGATCAGCTGATACCTTGAATAGCAGAACTGGCCCCACTCCAGTCCTTGGCTGCTGCAGGTATTTTGAAGATAAATCAGCAATTTCTGTAGGTACTGAGGGCAAGACACAATGTCTATCTATTCTGTCCTCAATTAAATCCACATTTTCTTGTACCGATGTAAACAAAGCCAGGATTTCCCTTCAAAAGAAGCAATAAAGCTGAGAAAAGCTGATTTTTCTTGCCTGTCCCCTTTTGTCCTCACAAATGTGAAGCCTGCTCAGTACAGGCTTTTCAGAGGTTTGTAATTTCTCACTTCAGGTTCAAATAAGCTCAAACTCGGAGCAAACCCTGGTGGCAACAGTTAAAGTGAACAGAGATCCTCACATACTCTTTGAACACTGAAAGCAAAATTTACTTTGCTCAGGAGGACAGATGAAGGATGAAAATCAAGAATTAGGAATATTGTGGAAAACAGGTTTCTGTATTTTTCTACAGAAGACTACAACTCAAAATTTATATTTTATATTATTTGTGTGTTGTCAATACAAATAGCTCTTTAAATGAGGAAAATTTCAGATAAAACTCGTCGAACAGCAATATAGGGATCTGAGCCTCGGTTTTGTCTTAAAAACAATGCTGATGCTCAAAATTAATTCAAACATTTACCTAACTTAATGGCATATTAAATGCCAGTGATGTTTCCTTTTTGATTTTTCTTCACTTGACACACCTATTAAAAATTCACACCCTTCTTTCAGGGATCTTAGGAATCATTCCCAGTTCTAGCACTGTGTAGTGTTGTGCCATTTATGCTCTGTTTCTGCTCTGTCAACCCTAAGATAACCTCAGTGGTACAGCCAAAATCCACCCTCTCTTTGCCCTGTACCTGAAGGTGATAGAGGGAACTCAGATTTGGATGCTTCCATTTTAAATAAGGGTATTTTTGTAATCTATATCTCCATATAACGTAACTACAGATATGAATTGTAGCCAAAGGGTCTGTAAATGTCAGCAAAAATATTTTTTCTAAGTGAGTTTTTAGGGCTACTGGTTCTAGAAAAATAGAACTCACTGGGTTTTTTTGGACATTCTACTTAACCACAACACTATTATATGGGTTTACCACATATATTTCAAGACATCTCCTCAGATTTGCTATTCCCTAATTAATCTTAAGGATTATTATAAATAATATTTTATTTATATAAGTAAACAATATATTTATATTATTTTATACGTATTATATACTATATAACAAATTAAAATAAATAAGAATAAATAAAATACATAAATAAAATAAATCAATTAAAGTATTTTGGTTTTATTTGGTTTTGGTTTTGTTTTGTTTTCTTATTTGTTTTGGTTGTTTGGGGTTTTTGTTGTTGTTTTTTGCTTTTTCAGAGTGAGGCAACAATCTGATAATAATTATTTCCTATCCATCAAAGCTCTCAAGACAGTGCACAATTACCAGTCAACTTTTCAGGATATAAACATATCCTGTGTAGTTGTAATTGTTGCTGAACCAGACACTGAGTGTTATATAGTTTCACACTTGCTCTGAAAGACAGAACTCACCTTTAGTTTTGACACAGAACTCACCTTTACTTTTCAGGTAGGATATGGTTTCCTTCATTACTGGGGGGATTAGTTCACCTTTGTTTTTGTCCTTGATACTGTTGGGGGAAAAATAATAAAGAAAAAAAGAAAAAGTAACAGCCTTTAAGTGGCATTTATAGACAAAGAGTCAAAAGTAAGACATAAGACAGAACAGCCCGAGCAAAAAACAGGGAGAAATCTGAGAGCATACATTAAATTTCACAAATTAAGGAGCCTGTACCCAAGACAAGAGTCCTTCACAACTAACTTTATCCCTACTGGAGACTGGATTTGGTTGGATGCTGTTGGAATGGGGTTTCAAGGCAGCTTAAAGGCAGAGGAGCAAGGAGTTTGCAGCAAATGCCTTCCAGTAAGTCCTGATCAAGGGATGCTGCAAGTTTAGGAGCCTTTTATCATGCAGATTTTTCTTTGTCATTTGGCTCTTTTTAAGCCCCAGTGTATGTATAATTAAAAGGATATTGTACTATTTATTTTGAAGGCAAAGCGGGGCAGTGAGATTATTAACGCCTTGAATGATTTCCATGAAATGAGATTTCTTTCTCTTTCGTGAGTGAACAGTTGAGGCAAAAAATATGAACATGGCATTTTCTTGATCTAGACAGCACAGAAAATTCTGTAATTATCTTCCTCATTTAAAAAAAAAAGTCTTTGGCAGCCTAGAAGTATAACAAGAGTATCTACTGAGTCTTATGCTACACTTTATAGTAATCAGCAACAACATAAAGGACCAGTCGTAGATTTTAAAGTAGCCTTAGTACATATTTATGTAGACAATGTTAAATATAAGAAGTCTGCTGCAGAAACATAGAACAAGTGACTCTACAGTCCACTAATAACTTAGTCTTGCTAATAAACCAGAGGAGGAGGGAAGTTCCAGAGGTTCTTTGCATAGCATGCAAAGTTGAAATCCCGTGTGAAATTATGTCTCTCAGTAAGAGACTAAATAAGAAAAAGGGCTGAGAGGTGAGGTCACTACTGGGGTCAGTGTTTGGGATACCAGTGAGGAAGAACCTCTGCAGGAAATCAAGGTAAGGGGAAAAAACCTCACATTAATTTTAGCTTTTCTAATAGGGGAGTTTTAATACACTCCTTGTGTGTCAAATAATTTTATTTCATGTATTCATATCAGGATCCTAAATATTTAGGGCGGCTTTTATTAAAATTAGTCAAAAGCCTAATTGACTGAAATGGGAACATCATCAAGACTTTAATGTGCTTGGGAGCTGTTACATCTTTATTATTGACAATTTAAGCTCATGGAACTCATTCTCAGCCTCTCCAAAGTTGCACTGATTGTGTTTGCTTTCTTACAGCTCCTCACTCCAGAGGCACCGAATAGCAACACAGCAGCTTTTTATAAACGTTCTCTAATTATTATTGTTACCCATAAATGTGTTTCCCATTTCAGTGTATAAATAGCAAACTGATTATTTACAGCACTGGCTCCCGCTGAGCACTAGTTTATCTGTCAGAGAGGTGAGACAAACAACTGGCCTATAATTTGTAATAATAAAACCTACACACAACTTTTCTTTTTCTTCTAGGAAAAAAAGGTGCTGTTTTTGCACTTCTAACATTTTCTACAGAATTCCCTTTAAGGCAAGGTTCTGTTCCCAGTACAATGAAGGGAGTTCTCAAGATAAGTGGCATTTTAAAGTGGAGTAGGATATTCACATGACAGTCACATGCAAAGGTTTGTTCTGTTTCTGCAGCTCTGGGGTGAGCTGGGGTGTGTATTTTCAGAGTATGTCAGACACAGAGTTCACTTTACTGGACCTGAGGTGACAGAAAAAATTGCAGGGATGTTAGTGCAGGTATTGTAAACCAGACCAGCTTGGAGGTCAATGAAATTACACCTCCAGCCTCTCTCTGTGGATCCTGTCAGGCAGTCTGTTTGTCTCCTGCCTTGGCCAGGAGGGTGAGATGAGCAGCTCTGCCTTGTGATGGACAACACAAACTGACACTGGGGGTCGGGTGCTGCTGTGGGAGATTTGAAATGAGAGACATCTTACTCTCATCTCTTCTTCTTTCTGCTGAAGTGAGGAGCAGAACAGAGTATTTCAGTGCATGGTACAGCTGCTGTAACTGATTCCTATTGCAGCAACACCAGATCCAAGAGGTCTGTTCTGGCACACAGAGAATGAGTTCTGCTCACTACAGCATCCATGATTAGTTACTGCAGCACGTTACACACCCAGTGACTCATTGCTAGACAGCAGACAGTTGCCACACAAGGCCTTCACACATTGTTCTCAAGTGTCATTAAGTATTCTTGGCTGATAATCTTTCTCTCTCTTTGCTTTCCCTCTCCCTTTCATTTTTTCCCTGCTGAGACATGCAGAGGTTTGCTTTAGAATGCATCCTTCCTCCCTGGGCACACATGCCCAGCATGCACAAGCAGAAAGATCATGGCCCAAAGGAAGGCACCCTGAAATGTTTATGATAACCATTCAACAAGCAGTAGCTGGACAGCTGTGGCAATTTTGTACATTTTCTCTGCCCCCTCTCCCCATCCGTGGCACAGGTGGAACGTCATTTTGTCATTACAGTCCACAGAGGTGACAAGAGGAGAGGAAATTAACAAAACCAATTCATTCCTCAAGATGAAAGTTGATACCTTATCCTTTTTTTCAGATTTTAGAAGCTCCCAAAACATTCCATTCCTACCCCACCACTAATTTTACCTTTCTTCACAAACACAGTCGAAATTCACTCCTTTATTTCTGATTTAGAACTTACAGGGGATTTGCTTATTTGTAATAACATTAAGTGGTGATGAGTCAATCTAGACAAGGGTGGGCAAACAGGAGGAACTGATATTCCCCTGTACATCCATTTTGGGTACTCAAGTGCTGTGAATTGGACCCACACACGGAGAGCATCTGTTTGTCAGTGCCTCTGTCCCCAGTGCTGGAACTCTCTGGAACAAAAATGATAGTAAGGCCTTGCTTGGTGTTTCCCCACCCCCAGATAAGCCCTTTCTGAAGTAGTCACCCTTTTTATACTTCAGGAAAGCCAAGGCAAGCAGCGAGTACACAATTTACTGATGGTAACACAGCTGGAAAGGGGCAGGGCAAGGAAGGGCAGCCACCACACCCTCACCATGTGCAGCCCAGGAAAATACCCTGTTTACTTGCTTGGGCACAGCCAGAGAAATAAAGCAGGACTAGCAGATGGTAGGAGTGACACACAATATGCTGTCTGGTGGCCAAAGCCTGTGAGAAGGTCAGGAGAGCTGCTTGAGCCATCAGGCCAGGCTGGAGGCAGGGAACAAAGCGTGTCCTGGTGCCTGAAAACAGTCCTGGCTTTACTAATGTGGTGGCATAAAACATTGTCCTTCCTAATGACCCAGTGGAACCCACCTAAAAGGTAGTCTGTGGCTTAGGGAGGTGATTTAGCCACATTTCAAGTGTTAGGCTGAACTCTAAAGAGGTATTGTGAAAGTTCATGTCGTAGTAGCTCTCACACAATACATATTGATTGTACTAATTCCAGGCCTTCCAGAAAGGACTAAGGCTTAACATTCAAGCAGAGGGAACTTACATCTCACTTACAGCTGAATCATTAGAACCAGAAAAGTAGACTGGGGGTGGGAGGAGATTTGACAAAAGTCCATTTACCAGACAGCGTAAATTGCGTTCGCTGAATGTGAACAACATTCTTCAGCTGTTTTTTGAGGAGGATGCCACAGAAAGATGACAGAAGTGGCCGTGGGTAGGAAGCTAGAAGGTTTCATGGGCTTTTCTTGTGTGTTGTTTTTTACCAAAATTGAATCTTGCAAGTACTATTGCCATCCCATTCCTCGTGTAAAGTAAATAATTTTTTATACCACATACAGTGCTGTAATCTACACAAACAGCTGTCAGGGCATTTCTGGGAGAGAGTGATTTTATTCATTCCATCAAACTCTGATCAGAACAATCTGCGAGCAACAAAACAACAATGTATAAAGGCTCAAGCATCCATCTGAGCTTTACACAGCCATTGTGGAGCCTGAAGCTTTGTTTTGGCTTTGCTATCCATCATCTAAATATCTCCAAAACACTTCCATGCTGCCAGCATCCACCAGCAACATATTAGCTCGGGGCTCTGGCATGTATGGCAAAACATTGCCCACTGGGAAAAAAGTTGTGTACTGACTACCACTAAGAAAATGGAAACCTGAAGATCAGGCAGGTCACTGGGACTGTGAGACCTGTCCTGAATTTGTAAAATGTATTGTCTGCCCTCATAGTTTTGTGGTTTTCCAGAGAGAATGAGAAACTAAACATATAACGAACAACTTATTTGCAGGCAGTCTGTCTGGTGAACCTGCACATTACAAAGCTGTAGGGTACAAAAATCTCATATTTTTTGAAATCTCCCGGCTTACTATTGCAGGCTGACTCCAAATTGCTGGGTAGGTAGAGGTGGTCGTGGTGGAGGAATCTTAACCACAGGTGGCAGTTTTCCCTTCTGTTTCCTCCGAAGATTTTCATCATGTCTGCAAAAAAAAAACCAAAATAAATTAGGGTTTCATTGTTTTTCTGTGTAGCACGAAAGACAGACCGTGTATATGAACAGCTGTAAGTGTTGCTCATGATGCTGATCTCCTGACAATAGTGTATATTCTGCAGGTCTTGCAGAACTTGCATTTAATTTCAGCATGAGGAAATTTTTAAGTACTATTTGTGGCAGAATACTTAAGCACAGCATAGAAGAGCTCTTTTGCTTCAGCCAGTGGAGCATAGCAATGAATATGTCCAAAAAATAGGAACAGACCATAATTTAAGAGCAAAATTCAAACCTATTTGCTACTCAAAACACAGCTCTCTTTTCTTTGGCAACTATGCAATCCAGTTTATAACCTTAGAGCTGTAAGGTGTTTTCTGTTATTCCATATTTACACAGAAGATGTGTAAAAACCCACCAGGCATCAGTATGAGTTGTAATCAAAGCTTCCAGTTCCTTTCATTCAGCAGTGACATAAAATCACTTCCTGTCAGCACATCAAAGCATTTCCATGTACAGCACCGTGTTGGGAAGATGTTATTGACACCAGTACTGGCACTTGACAAGCACAGCCCTCTGCATTTCTTTCCTTTTTCTCTCCCACCCTCCACTCCAGTAATCCTCCCTAACTCACAAGATATAAAAATAATGGAACCACTGACAACAGATACGTCCATGAAGTTTAAAACCAATCAACACTTTGCTGACTGGGAACTCTCTTAATGAAAGGAAGTCACTTAATCTGCTACAATATGCAAGGAAAGAGGTCAGGATTACAGCTCTGCCCAAGGAAATTACACGATACTCATAAGCAGTAACAACACGTGGGTTGGTTTTGCTTACACTCACACAGAAGTTGCAATTATATTAAGGAAATGCTCCACAACTGAGATATTCCAGACCTGTAGAAAACCTGATGCACTTCAGAACGTGTTTGATGCCAATGCAGCTTTCAGAATTTACCCAACCAAGCACAAACAGGTAAATTTGACTTTTAATCACTGAAAAAAATAGGTTCTGCTCAGAATACAGTGAGCAGGATGCACCTCTACCTGAGGAAAAGTGAGGCAATGTGGATTAAATTTGCCACGTACCGGATGACTTCCTGAGGGATATTTAGCTGGTCGTATTTGAGATGTTCTGCCAGGTCACTTAAATAGTTCAAATAGGTGACCTTCTTCCCAAACTTATGGCTAAAAAAAAAAAAAAAATTGAGAAAAAAATCACATAGTAGTGTAAAAATCAGCATGGGAGGAACATTTACAAAGGGTTTAGTTTCTATTACAAAAATGTAAGTGCTGATGCAACTCAAAATTAGACTGTAATTGAAGCAGCAGGAGACGTAAGATGTGTTTCATTTCATATGATCAAACATATACAGTGCATGCCTGAGAGTCTGATTTGAATAAAAATAACTGCCTTCCATCTGAATGTTTTTTGATTTGCATAGATATGAAAAACATTGCTTTAAAAGCCACTGAAAACCAGGTTTCACACAGCATTAGAAAGCTCACTAAAAGCACTGTTAGCTTTGGAGAAAACGTTACACAGGCAGCAGAACAGCATGTTTGTATTGTTTAGGTATTCTATCCTAAAGACAAAATGGGGGCTGTAGAAAATAAATTATAAATCAACTATAAAGCAACAGGCAATACTTTTCAAAGCACTGATAGTGCTGGTGCATCAGCTTTATCCATTTCGAAAGGGCTGGATAACTTCTAGGAAACACCATGAATGACACGATTTTTCTCTGAGCTGTACAAAACAGACTTCCAAATTTGAAGTATCTCTAGTTAGGTCTTGAGTCAGAGCCAGAATACAGGACTGTGCAGGTTGAGGTGTTCAGACAAGGGTCAGTGACACGTTTATACACATGGTCTGAAATAATGCAATACTTTCCCATGACACCAAGCATCTTGTACTGTAATGAAGTGCCAAGAAAAACAGCAGGTGTTGATGACAAAAAGTGGACTTTGCTGCACCTTACTTCCAGAGGAAAATTGGAGAAAAACGCTGGTGTGACTGAGTTTATCCCTGGATTGTCCAATCCACATACACACGCTCCCTCTAGTGGGAGATGGCACAAACATCAGCCACTTCATTAAATTTTAGATTAAAACTGAAACGAGCTAAATTTTGCTAAAAGTAAAGCAGTTTTGGGACACTGAAGAGTATCAGTCTGTGCATGCACAACTTCAGTGCTCTCTAGAGTGTCTTTGATCCAAAACAGCCTGGACTTCCAACATCTTACCCAAGCCACGGGCTAGCACAGAACTTTGTATTTAATCACCTCTGGTAATGCAGGACAGGTCACAGAACCCCGAATTTGTAATTAGGAATTAGTGCTGTTCCTTAAAAATGCCACATCAACACCACCAACTAAAGTGCAGTATTTTGATAGCAGGTGGGTGGTTTCTGTGAGCTCACACATAGGAATGTGTTGGTTTGCCATTTGGGAAAAATAAACTTCACTTAACACTTAACCTTCTTTCTGATTTCTTTTGGGCCTGGAAAGAAGATCAGTTAATCTCAGGAGATTTAAAAATGTCACGTATTTAAATTTTCTTAAATCCTTTCAGATAAAAGAATGCTAAAATAGTTACAACATTTGTCCTTCACTCTAATAATTCTGTTATTTGTCCAGTTGTTATCAAACACATTAAAACATCATGTAAAAGTACTTAGGCCATGGGCTAACAGGTACCAAACATACTAACAGACCCCTGAAAAATAAATACATACTTCTTCATAATGAAATTTATTTTACATCTGTTATTTTTATTGGCAACACTATCTACAAATGAGTCTGGGCTTTAATTCAGCAAAGGTAGGAAACAGAAGGTGTAGAGGGTTTTTCTCCCTTGCTTTTGTGGACTGGATTAATACTGCCACTTAAATTAAAAGCATGATTCATCTTAGCCAAGGTAAGATTAATCTAAACTGGAAGGAAAAGGTACTGTGAACAAATTTGAAATTGTACTAAATTAACAATGTTAATAAGTATTAGTCTTCAACGAGAGTATAATTTAGGGAGATTGTACATGGGCCCTTTCACACTTAATTTTAAAATTATATCCTTATATTTTCCCTTACTTGACAAACCCAAAGTAGAGTCAACCCAAAAAGCAAAATGTATGTGGACATTCAGCTATTAAGACATTTTAAGGAATAAAGAGGTTTTTCCTAAGCTTCAGGTAATTCCTGCTTTCTGGCTTACAGACCATTTCAGAGTCTCATAATTCCAATCAGTTTGTCAGGGCCAGTGTACAAACAGCTTTGTTGCTGTTGGTTACAGATTTTAAACACAGAGAGTGTTACTAAATTAGACTCAAAAGAAGTATCCAGGTACACAGTGGTAAAAGTGTAAATGTCAGTACAAACAAAAACAACCAATCCTGATGAAAATAGAGTATTCAGAAGGTCAAGATGATGTTGCTGCATCTGACAAGCCCTGCTTTGAATTGTTTATGCCAGATGGGCTTAAGCTTATCAGGATCACCCTTCTTCACATTCAAAGCAAACAAAGATTTAATTGCCAGTGTATTGTATTTTCCAGGAAAAAAGGTATTTCACTTATTTACACAGACATAGTAAGATCCAGGGGAAATGAGTGTTTGGAAAAGGTACTTGTAAACTTTTATTCTGTAAGAAATAGTGACCAATTATTGCTTTAAGTCAAATATCACAATGAGTGCATTAATATGCACTGGATGAAAATCGTCAGTGTCCCAAAACCCCTTGCCTGGAGCTATTCCCAAGAAACTCTTGGCTGCCTCTGAGAAAGAAGTTGGTTCACCTGAGTATCGTAATATCCATCAAGAATTATTGTTTGATTGTTGGGGCTGGCTGTTGATTTTTTGCTCTTTTTTGTTTGGCTGGTTTTGTTGTTTGGTTGGGTTTGTTTGGGTTTGTTTTCTAGAAAGCTCTCCATACCCATCCTAAAGCAAATCAGCAAGAAACAAACCAACCAAAAATCCACCCCCTTTCCTGAGCCACCATCAGGTCCTGGGCATCCTGTTTCTGTCCACTTTTCTCATCATTGCACTATATGTCCTGCTTCACTGACATTTATTTTACTGCTAGTTAAAATACAGATCTATAATCAGTCTTCTTGTTTCAAGAACAGCATATTCTGGAGTGATTTTTAGCTGTAATTACATTTCTTATTTTCACATGCCTCTTACATATTCCAGTCTGCCTAAAAGTTAAACTTCCCTTCTCTAATTAATTAGCTCTCTACCAGTCAGAAAGTGAATCAATGGCAAGTTGCTGTAGTGGATGTTTTTGGTTGGTTCATTATGGCTTCTCAAGATCAGCTGTTTCCATCCTCCAGCCCTGAGGACATTCATAGTATAATCTGCAAAATGCCAGAATTACTTGGAAAGTCACAGAAATTCAGGAGCAGAAGCTGAGCAAGCCCAGCCATCCTTGCACTTATCAGTATCTGCCCACTGGTGGCGGTTCCTTGTACGTAGCACCAACTTTTACCACGCAAAGGAAAAGAACACACAGTAAATTACATCAGCTTCACCTTTATATCCTCCATTCCAAATTCTTACGGGCACTTCAGGGCTTACCCATTAACTTTGAACACACAGTTCTATCATCACTATTCATCTCCCCAATCCAGCTCCCCCTGAAGGTTAACCATTCATTATCCACTTTACTGCATCACCCAGTAACTCCAATCACATCCCCACTTCCATTATGGGAAGTGCTGTCAAACAGGACAAAAAAGTCGTTCGTGGTCCACAGAATAACTATTTTTTAAAGTGATATTTACTTTAACATACCAGTAAAACTGCTAAGAATTAAGACTCCCTTTTCTTAGAAAGAAAAGAACTCTACCCTCTTTTTCACACCCGAGCTTAAGCTCACCTTACCCATTAATTCCAGACAGTTTAAATGGGTATTGTGCTGTTACCTGACATATTTTACCTCAAGCCTTTTCAAAAGCAACTTATTAGAGAACAAACCATCCTTGAACTAAATGGGAATAATGTGTTCAATAAACTGCCAAGTACCTTATAAGAGGTTTAAAGATATTCCACAGGATTTTTATGAAGTTGGTTGGATGTACAACATAGAGTGCTTTAAGGTTTTTCTTATACCTGGGAAAAGAAAATGAAATTGTTAGAAGAATGTTGAATACCACAGACGGTAGAACTGAATAGCTACTACTGAATGGAAGGTATTATTACAGGAACATTACACAGCATTCTTTTCAAATACATTCAAAAGACCTAATTCAGAAGAAATGGAATGTAAAATGAAAAAAAAAACCAAAAACAACCCACACACGATTTTGAAAAATGGTCAGCTTTGACAATAGGCCAAGTTAACACTACTGTGTTCCTAAGCAGTGTCTGCTGTCTCATAGATTTAATATCAGGGGGACAGAAAGGAAATTAGGCAATTTGAAAAAAAATACTGATAAGAGAATGAGGAGTCTATTAAAAAAATTCATGATGTAAAAATCACTTCCTTTCATATCCCTTTATTTTCTGCTTACAGGAGTTTCATGTTGAAGAAAAATTCTAAATTTTCAGATGTGGAATTTACACCTAATTTTTTAATTTTACCACTAATTTTGGCCTATTTTGCTAGCAATTACTAAAGGTGAAACCAAGTGCTACTTGTTTGATATTGCATGGTCCCTCTTTGTGTGAAACAAACCCTTCCTTCCTTATGCTTTGCTTGATTCTACAGTGTCACTTCATGATACATAACCAATGGATTCTAGTAGGCCAAAATGGAAACCAGGCTGCACACAAAGACTCTGCTCTTATTCAATGTTATTGCAAAACAAAATTGAGAAATGCATAGTGAAATGTATAAATTGCTGCCTATTACTCTGCCAGGTTTGCTTTGTGCTCCTCCCAAGAGTCAATGCTCCTTGTTAGAAAACAGCGATCGGGGAAAACTGTGATGGTTTTCTAAGGAAACTCCTAAGGAAAAACCAGGTTATGCTAAGAGGGGGAAAAGGGACCAACTCAAGAATTACGGGTTTTCCTTTTGGATTTTAACTGGGCCCTGTGAGTGAAAAAAAGCACTGTATTCACAAAGCCACTGCCACACACAAGCAAATAACTACTCTGTGCACTGGCACTGTGGACAAGGACCCAAAATCCACAATGAAAACCGACTGGTAAAACCCTGAGTTGCTTTACTGAAGTTCCCCTTTGAAGTTTGTTTCATACCTTGGGGTGAGGGGCATAATCTGCTCACTGTGTGGAAGTTTATGTTCTTCATAGTTTCCTAGATTACAATTAAATGTCCAAAAGACTTTACTGAGCCTCTGCTGCAAACCTTCAAAGATCTATTCTTTTGAAACTATTTGTGTTGAACATTTGCTTTCAATGCAAGCTAATTATGTTGTCCTTTGTGCTCTCCTCTGCCCACCCTTTCCTTTGAACCCAGCAGTCTGAAAGGAGCTATTTTTGTGTTTGTTTTCCAACAGCACTGACATCATCATAAGAACCTGCAATAGCAAAATGAGCTCAGTCAGCTATGGGTGGGTCAGGACAGATCCAGTTCCCTCATGGAAGTTAGTTACAGACATCACACAATCCTAAGAGTAAACCAAATATTCTGGAGCCATACTTCCTGTCAAACTCCTTGTAGGCTGTTTGCAACCATTTCAGAGATGGTTTATTCAGACTCTTCAGGCCATAGTGGAAGTAGACAACCGTATAATCATTCTCTACATACTGGTCCAGGGTATACTTTAAGTACCTGAGGAGAAAGATAACAGTGTAGTTTTAAGACAATTTACGGGAGGAGATCTTTGAAGTGGTAACTGTGCTGTTTTTGCACTGTGATTGCAAATTCATATTTGCTTCGAGGTATTCGACAAGTTCATCTTGCTCTAGTGGCAATATGGCCAATAATTCCACATCATTGCAACGCCTGAAATTGTAAAGAATGTGTTTATTTACAAAAACGGTGGTGCTCATGAATCACTTAAGGATGAAGACAATACGGGACTGTGTTTGCCAAGAAATTTTTGAAGAGATGCATTTTAACTAACGGCAACTTCTATTTTGCTTTTTTCTGGTCTTTGTGAAGTCCTTCCTTTGAGACAAAGCAAACAATGCCGTTTTGCCTTCTCCAAACAAGAAAGAACACATCTTAGGTTTTCCTCTTAATTTAAAACTTTTAAAATCCTTGAAAAATCCATTACCCCAAACTACTGCCAATTACAACCTGTTACTGTAAACTGCTTTTCTTGACTGTATTTGACTTTCCCATGCTTGCATTGTGGTGCCTGCATTCATAGATCATTTCCCTTGAAACTAATTTGAAGAACTACACTACTTATCCCCTCTTGAAATAATACTGCACGTTTCATAAGCAGATTTCTGTGTGTTCATTCTTTTATGGTACAATTTTAGATGCTTTTCTCTTCCCTTTCTCCTACAATTAAGAGCACAGGATGGCCTATTACACAGCTCAGTGATTCAAATCAAGCCATGATGGAGCAGTGCAATCTGGCCTCGTGTCTTGCTGTGTCAGATTTCAACTTTCTCATGTTATTTTCAATGCTCTCTTCTTATTCTGCAACAGAGCCCTTAATTGTATGTAAGCAATTTTTATTCAATAAAGCAGACAGTTCCATGTGCCATTTATTAGGCTGGGACTGTCTGGAGGGCCACTTTGACCGTCCACCTTGGCATGGAAAAGCCCATAACTTCACTTCTGACCCTCCCAAAGCCTCATTTATCTGCTTATTCCCTCAGTATATTGTAAATCTTAGATTGCCAGTATCCTGGGACAAGGATTGTCACTGCAATTAATATAATGCTGTTTTGATCCCTGACTTAAGCATTAAAATGGTGTTGTAGTGGAAGAAGTAGTAGTGACAGTCATTCAAGACTTTTTTTTTTTTTTAAAAGAATTTGAAATTAAAATATAGCTAAAGAGATACTGTTACATACAGAGTGCCTGGTGTTTTATTTTGCAGCATGTAAATTCCTTGTCACATTGCATCCAGACAGCCTGTACTTTTAAAAATAACCGAGAGTGTTTTGTGGGCATATAATAACCAGTATTTTTCTACAGTCAATTACCTGTTCCAAGGCTGTAACAGAATTGCAGGGCCATTACAAAGGCTTTACCAAATCAATTCTTTAAGTGATTTCATCACAAAATACCTACCAATCGGGGCCTACTCTGCAGCTTTTCCTCAGAATTCGACACCTGAGTCTAACTACCTAAAAGCAGATCACTTGATAGCTGTGTTGCTGCCTCCACATTCAGACACCTGCCTTCAGTTCTTTTAGCACTGACTTTCCAAGGGAACTGGATGTGGGCTCAGATACAGGAAAACACGTAAGTCTTCAGGTCCAGAAGACTCCAAGGGCTGGAAACCTGAGTTTCATCAAGGCTTCTCCTCACAGAGCTAAGGAGGAGATTCCCAGATTTGGTAGAAACATGGTTTGTCCCACTCCCTTCTTTGGCATTTCCTCCTAATGACTGCTCCTCTGTGTGAGGAGGTGACTGGTGGGGCTCTCCCTCCTCCCTGGCAATAACACTCCTTTGGTGCTCTCAAAACCATTTCTTAAGTAACCTCTGTTATAATCCCTCTCCCTTTCTGAGAAGTTGAGGCAAAAGCATTTCTGTCTTTTCCAATGGTGGTGGGTAGTGACATTTGAAACATTTTGGCAAAGGAGGTTGTACAAGAACTCCAAGCAGGTTTAAAATGCTTAGTAAGGACAGGAGTCTCATGACAGAACAGATCTTGTAGTGACAAACTACAAGGCAGAAACAGCAAGTTTGTAAGGAGGAATGCTGTAAAGTTACCTATTCCCAACCTCTTTTAACACAAAAGATCCAAAGTGAAATACATGCAAAAGTGTTAAGCATAGTATACTGAATGAAATGGAGACATTTTTATAAAATAGAAAACCCACTGAATGCAAATAACTACACAGTGCTCTTCCTGAGTGATTTAGGAGATAAAAGATAGCAAATTAAGGCAAACACAACTCTTCATGAGAACATATGTACACAGCACTAAAATACCAGAATTTCACTTTCATTGGTCCTCATCATGAATTTTTTTTTTAATATGATAAGAATTCTTTAATAAAATCAAGACAATAAGTAATTTCAGTACAGCGAATGGCTTCTTCCAGTCAAGGCAACTGATAGGGTCATCATTATCTCATTCACTTAACACTAACACTAATAGGTCTTACATCCTTTTTTAAATTTCACTCCTTGCCTCTTGCTTCTCCTCCTTGAAATCTCATTGCCCTGGAAACAAGCTGATAGAATTTTTCATATCAAGTGTAAAGGAGTCCATGCAGGAGATTAAAAGAAACTTACTCCAGCAACCTGGTGTGGTTGAGCTGATGGGAGGGGGGCATGCGGCAGCAACTGAAGGTGATCACCTTCCTTCCAGAGCTGTCATCACCTGGGGGACAAAACAGGTAATAGAGACAACTCATTTTCAGAGTTCTGAAGGAATAGTGTGGCTCTTGTGATACTTGGGGCTACCTCTGTCTCCTGTTATTGCTCAAAACATGCTGTGAGACTTCCCTGTCAAGTCGCACCTGACCTACAGAAAGCACAAGGTAAGTGACGAAGCAAAGCTGAGGGAAGTTCATATTTAGAGGTGGTTGGTTGTGCTCAGCTCTGGACAGGGAACACTGAAGTCCTCCTGCAGCATTCAGCTGTGGAAGAAAACAGCCCTGCTTTCCCTAGTAGTCTTGGAAATTACCTGTTTTCAAACTCTCTGTGCTTTATATCTGGAATTTATTAGAATACTGCTCTGCCTACAAGCACTTTGGACTTTGTCTTGCTTCTCTGTCAGATGTTTTTAACCAACTTAAGCTTTCTCAGATCTTCTCTTTCAGAAGCACTGCTACATTCAGATCACATTTAAAACACATCAAGCAAGGCATATAAGTATGATTTTCCATACATCTACAGGAAAGATACCATTCCTTCTAAAGCAATACAGAAACACCCCATAAAATGGTCAGACTGAATTAATATTTGACACATTCTTAGTCTAACTTCAATGTTCAAAGTAAATTATATCTAATACTTGTTTCTATTGTTACCAAAACATCAAAGTTTGCCTTTGATATCAGTGGGAATACAATAAAGAATTAGGGGTTTTTTAGACAATATTTATAATTCTGTTGTTCCCCTCTGATCCTGAATTAAGTAGTTCCAGTATAGTAGTGTAGTTTTGACTCCTAAAACATTCCTTTCTCTGCTAGCTCATTCTTTCTTCCTGTTCTTGTTTGGCTGGCTACTTATTTTTGTTGTCTTTCTCAAAGGGGCTTTTTTTTTATACCACAAAGCTTGATGTCCCTTCCCACATTAAAAATAAATTCTCGCCCCGGGTTAAATAAAGTGCTTGAGCACCACTAAAGGAAGAACATGCACACCACCACAATTATATGTAGCCAGGTATGTCAGCATATTGTTCTTAAACAGACCATAATTTATTTCCTGAAGTTATTTAAGTGTCTTGTTTTATATTCTCAGAGTGCTTATAAAGACATTATAATGTGACACACATTAATATGAATGATGTACTAAAATTAAATTAAAACATTAATAAAAGATTGTTTTCTAAATCATGGCTTGTTTGGGGGGAAAAAAAAGTGCTATGTTACAATGCACTCCAGAATATTTTATCTGTTAGAGGTAACAGTTCTTATGAGCAAAATAAACCATTGAAAGGTTTCCAGATAAATTACTAAATGAGTCACTAATTGTTACTGTTGGTCACATTCGATGGCTTGAATTAAAACCCAGAAAAAAATAACCAGTTCTATAAAAGAGTGCAAACTGGTAAGGTAGGACATAAAAAGACATAATTGTCCAGCTTCAATAAAGGGGAAACTGAGGCAGAGGAACTTTCTTAGAATTAGCAGCTGAGCAGAGCCCCTTGTTCTCCAACCCTGTAGTGCCACACAGGCAAAAAGAACAAACCAGAAAAGGTGAGAACCTCAACTCCATGAAAAACCAAATAAAGTAGTGCCAGCTTTCCATCAGTGGTGGAAGGTAAGAAAGGAAAGAGGCTGTTTTTTCTCTTCCCAGGCATCATTAATATTCTGGAGAACACCAAATTTGAACATGACCTGTGCAGTGCTGATCAAAACAGAAGCAGGGCCCCTTTCCCTCCATCAGGGGGGCTGTGACTGAGCACCTTGGGAAATGCCCATCACATCTAACAGGGCATTTGCTTCCCAGTCCAACACAGTTTGCATCCTGTTGAGGATGGAATTTTTATCCAAACACATGAAAGTATGGTTTGAAAAGTAATGTGGGGAGGGGCAGTTCCCTGCAGATGCAAAGGAGAGTGTAAGTGGAAGTAAACTGATTGCAAATCTGCACAGGGTGTATTTTTACACCACAAAATGCTCTCAGGGACATGGTGCGACTCCTGGGGATGGTCCTGTGCAAGGCTGAGGGCTGGAGTTTCAGTAAGAAAGCATGTCCATATATTTTGATATAATTAGCTCTGGTTTGTCTTTAAAAAAGACAGTACAACCTACAGTCTGATGTTCAAAGCAAGAAATGCAGTAAATAGGGATTTATTTCCTTTCTCATTCTGAGAGGAAAATAGTTGGAGAAAGGAGCAAGAAAAAAAGTGGTGCAGAACTTGGAAAATCCAAGTTCAATTCCTGCCTGAAGGATTTGAAAACATGCTTTTATCACTCAGACAAGTTCCCTCTTCACTAGAGCAGGAAATACTTTCCATTGATATCAGCCTTTACTCCTGCTCCTGAAGGTATTGTAAGAAGTAGCAAAGCTGTCACCGAGATGGACTGAAAATTATTAGGACTTGTGCCTTAGGCTTATTAGATATTTCACTACAGTTTCTCCTCACATGTTACAAAAACTAAATTACAACTTTACCTTTCACAGTCTGATCTACATTCTACTCTAATCAGTTCCTAATGCACTGGTTCAGAATCAAAATGGGGCATGAAATCAATTGGATCTTGAAGATAAATGTGCACAGTCTCTGCAAAGACCCAGGCTGGATACCTGAAACCTTTAAATGTAACTAGAAAAGCAGGAAAAGGCTAAGAAGGGAAATAAAGATTTAAAACAGCAATGACATGGATTCCATTAAAAAGTTTTAGTTAACACATAAAAGGATGTCACCGGCAGTTGATGAAAACACAAAGCATTAGAAATAGAGTTCTATGAAATAAGAATATATTCAAATTCAGGCACTGCAAAAAGTTGTCAGCAATCATATTATAGAAGCAAACCAGAGCAAATTAGGGAGCTTGATGCATCAGGAATGAATAAGAAAAATAATCTTGAGCTTGTTTTCAGGCAACAAATTGGAACTTCTCCCTCAAAACAGAAATAAAAGGAACCAGCACAGCCGCACTGTTCACACATGCTTAGAGTCATCAGCTGCACATTGGTACTTGTGACATAACTCGATCTGTAATTAATAAACAATTAATAAAGCTTACATCTTTTCAAAATGTCTTCTATCCTGTTTTAATTAATTGTATTTTCACACAGTGTGAATGCAGCTCAAAAAATATACTCAAAACTATAGTCAAAACTATTGCTATGCAAAGCAGGTAGAAGTGATTTTAACTTATGAAAAGCAAGAAAGAATTTTAGGGAATTTTTTTTAAATTGACTGTTGGAAACTAGGTGACTGTAAGAGATGGATAAATTACTGCAAATATTTTCACCTAAAGTGTTCTTTTTCTTCAGTCACTTCAAACAATACATCTCATTGTCTTTCAATCATGAAATAAAAATGAAGGAACAGCTTTAACACAGCCACTTCAAGCACTGAAATCATATTTGTCTCATTCAAAGAGAAGAAAAGGATTACAAACCAGGTACAAATAATTCAAAAACTGCTTCAAAAGGGACTGGCCTCTTACAGGATGGGAAGGGAAGAGCTCATCCCTTCCTCACTTGAATCTAAATCCAGAGAGCATTCAAACATGTCTCCTGCCCAGTACACTCTGTGGATGGGGAGGTCTTTTTTTTTTTTGTGGAGGGTATTATTTCACCTTCTCTGTATTCTGCATTCATATTCAGAACAATTCAATATTCATCAAATATTTCTGACAAATGGCAGGTAAGGTCACTCTTTTCTGGGCTTAAACAACGGCTAAGGGACAGTTTTTTGCCCTACAAAAGGCTTCAGTATTAAGGACAAAACCATCAGAGGCAATCCAACATTTCAGGCAAGATTTGCTCCCATGTATTTAAACCAGGAATATATCCAGTGTTTGGACTTTATTCCAAGCAAACACTGAAACAGAGCAAATTCCAAGAAGAAACCATGGAAGCTACAGGTAGGTAAAAAACCACTGTGGCTTTCACTCCACTATTGCTGAAGCAATTCCCATTCTCTGACAAAGGAATAAGGCATATTCCAAAGATGGAGCCAGGCAGGACTGCCCAGCAAAGGACAGGCTGGTTATTATTCCATCCCCACCACATGTTCTCTGTTTCACCAGCCATAAAAGCAAGGATTTCTAAAAAGAGCTGTGCTGGCAGATTTCTAATTCCAAACTCCTTCCCCTTTTTGGAGTTCCCCCATCATTTTAACTTCCAAATCAAATGACATAGTCCTTCTGAGACTATGAAAATTAGGGGGTTTTGTCTTGAGAGTAAGTAAAACTATCATATCTCAGTATTTCCCCCAGTGCTTGAGTGAGAAACATCCTCATGAGTTAGCAGGTAGCAGCTTTTAAATCACAAGATTGTGAATTGTTATTCCCCTGCTTATGGATTTGAGCCTTATGCTGGGGGCTTAGTTTTGAAGAAGGTAAAAGGTAATTCTTATCTTGTGTGTAACTACCTTCAGTGGGTAAGATTGTCCTCCCACTCCAAGTCAAAAGTCAAATTCCCACAGATTTCACTGTCCTAGTCAATCATCCCTCGCCAGAGGACTGGTTTTGCTAAAGTTGATGTTCACCTGGGGCATCATGGCTTGACCTCAGGAAGGTATCTGTGTATAACCTGAGTTCATAATTTTCCTGAAAAAATCACAATCTAAGCTTTAGTACCTAAAGTGTGAGTACAAAGAAGTGTGCACAATGCAACACAATCTTAGACTTCACTAGGATGGATGTTCAAGACCACTGATTGTTTCTTCTTGAGTTCATTTCTTAGTTCAGGACTGTGATTATTAACACTATTTTAACAACACATTGATGCCAAAAATAAGCCAAAAGAAAAAAAAATAGGCAAGACATACTTTAAAGAGGTGCTTTTATATCATAAATACAGCTGCATGTCTCATATTTTGCCAGAATATTTTAAAAATAAATAACTGCAAACATGAAAGGATCCAATACTGAAGTAAGCTACAGATCCATAACTTCTCTTCAAGTCACAGCACAAAGTCAGGTGATAAATGGAGTTAACATTCATGTCAACTATTTCCTTTCTGCCTTTTGTTAGTTTTTGTACACTAAGCCATATCTCCTTGGTTGGGCAGACAAGAAAAATGGCTACACAACACTTCAGGTGATTCAGAAAACAAAACAGCTTATCACAAATGAAGAGCAGATCTGTTCCAGTCACAGTTAGCCCTTAGATCATAATATATTGCTATAGTTATATTTTAAAGCAAGATTAAGCTCAAACAGTTTGGCTCATAATTCATCTGCAGAAAAGCACTGAGTTCACACTCAGCTGCTTTTCAGGAGGAAGGATGGAAGCATCCACATGATTCCTGTGTATCACCTGGAGTGCAGTGAGAAAACTGTGATAGATTGTGCACTGAGGTAAAGCCACAGGATTTTCCAAACATACCTGCCAGCTGGATGATGCCATGTCTTGCAACATCATAATAGGGGTGATTGATGTTTAGCTCAGGATCCTCAGGTGGTGCGGGCACAAATGTTTCTTCCTGCCCCGACTGTGTGTCATCAGCTTCATCTTTCTGCAGTTCTGTAGGAGCAACAGGAACACATGAACAGAGACAACCTCTTGCCTCCAATACATCACTGAAGGAATTTTAGCTCAGTTTGACAAAAATACAGGCTTTTATTGCCTTTTGTTGTAGTTACAAATCAGTCTGTGACCCTGCTAATCACGGCTGTTGGTGTTGTCTCATCGTTTTTTTTCCACTCCCTTAAGCTACAGCTTCCTGCCTGTTATTTCAAGGTTGCCCACATAGAGAAGTTAAAGTTTCAGTTCACTACCACATGCACTGATAGCTACTCCACATTAACACCTCGTGTGAATTCTCTTCAAGAGCAAACTCACTGTTTGCATAAAGGGAGCAAATTGTAAATAACTCTCTGTCTCACCTCCCCCAAAATCCAGTTTCCTTGAAATCCTTTAACCTTCTGAACCTGGAATAAAAAAAGCAGCCTAAACTCCAGCTAGAGGCCAAGCAAAGGTGTAAATTTCTGCTCAAAATCCCAGTAAAATGGTCATCCTTCCCCCAATTTCAGTAGATTCTGGACTAGATCCTAGAATTAAAATGTACGCTGTACTGAAATGAGCAACAGAGTGTTAATCAATCTTGTTCCGAGACTTTTGGTTTTGTTTTGCTTTTTTATTCCTCCCCCAAGCTTCTTCCAAATTGTTGTAAGGTTCAAAAAAAAGCTGGTATTAAGTCAATATCCAAATGTTCAGAATCTGGGATAATTACCATCACTCCCATGATTTTCAAATGAGTGTTTGCTCAAACCTGGTGGGAACAACACTAAATGGACACACTAATACACTAATGTCTTGGGGGCTTAGGAGAAAAGACACATGCAAAGAGAAAAACTGATGTTCTGATGAGGTGTACCAGCCCCTGTACATCATCCATCTCTTTTTATCACACAGGTTTTAATATGGTAAAATTAGCAGGTTTATCTGTCAGTTTGGACGCTTTGGAGATGCAGCTGGACATGGTGCTGGGCCTTTTTTTGCAGACTTGTTGATAAAAAAGGTTGGTCCACATCGACCCTTTAGGTCCCCTTCCCACCTGGTATTCCGTGATTCCATGATCCCAAACATTATTATTGCCGCCTTAAAAAGTACTTCTAGACAATTTTGTCTCTTCATCATCTGCATATTTCATGTGCCTTGACCACCATGCAAGGCCCAGCAGGGCAGAGAAAACGAATTAAATATTGATTTCAGCCAGATTTATGTGCCAGTAGATAATAAGTGTTAGAGAAAAACTTGCACTAAATATTTTGGAATGGTTTCCACTCACAGTTTCTCAGTGTCTTTCTATCCTGCAAACAGCCACATGAAAGCTTTATTGTCTCATTTTCATTTTGAATGTGATTTGTACCAAAAAAAAGCATTTCACAAGGATGAAAAATGCCACTCATGGCTGGGCTTCTCAAAAACACAGAGCAGTCAGGAACATGTGTACTACTTTTACATTTCCTTATGTCTGAATTCATAAAAGCCTTCTCAGAAAACAAATCAGCAGTTGTATAGGAAAAAAAACCTCACTTGCCTTTAGAAATACAACATTAGAGTCCTTTTCATGCACATTAAAAAAGTTTAAATTCTTATTGTCTCCAAAATGTGTATTTTTCTGTCTTTAAAAGTGTATCATACATAAAAAGCTACACTAACCTTACCTGGAAAAGTATTCTTTTACTTAAAAGAATGTTTTTGTCCCAGGAGCTGGGAAGAATAATAATATGAACATAATGCAGCAGATAAATATTTGCCAAAAAAAAAAAAATTAAAACTCATAACAAGGAAAACAGTATTTTGTTTTTCGATTCTTTTTTCTCCATGTCTGAGCACTGTAACCACCTAAAGGAAGAAAAAGTTTCAAAGGGGAGAGAGAAAAAAGAAACAGCAAATGCCAGTCTGTCGGGATGTGGAGAGGGAGCTGTGAACCATTTACCATAACCCACTGAAAACTTAACAGGTGCTGTTAAAACAAAGTGTATATGCAGGTTAAACACAACAGAAATGGCCTGTCTGGCTCTGGGATGGGCCAAAGAACTAGAGAAGCAAAATAAATGCTCAAACCCATTTATACTGCACTTATTCCCAGAGACTAAAGAAGTCCCAGCACTAACATAGCTGCTGAACAGCTAGAGAGCCCTAACCTAGAGAGATAGTTCTTTGTATATTTTGGTTTGGGTTTTTTCTATTTGGTTGGTTGGGTTTTGTTTAGTTTTTTTTGTTTGTTGGTTTGGTTTGGTGTTTGGTTTTTTTACTGTGAGAACAAGGGCACTGCAGCTCAAGAGATTTTTCGTAATAAACACAAACAAAATTCATTATTACAAAGTGAGGGAGACCTCAGCTCTATTTTTTCTCCTACAAGTGATAGGGGAGTTTACTGTCCTGCTCCATGAACTGTAGCAGAGGATCACCTGCTATTGCTCTTTAACCCAGCCTGGGAGAAAACATGAGGGGCCTGATCTAGAGCTTGCCTTGAGGAGCACAATTATTTTCCATGAATTTGGAATCAATCCCCAGGAGTGAAAAGGCCATCGAGCTGCTCCTGAAAGTCATGAAGTGGTGAAATCTGAGGCGAGGGACAGAGAAAGGCAGGCTGAGGTGGAGGAGATCTGGAAGACCCTTGCTCCTCCAGCTCCTCCAGCCTGGCATCTTCAGAAGCTCCGGGGGAAAAGGAAACAGTGATGATGATCCTTCAGAATGCCGAGGCCCCAGTGCCGTGGTCCTGCTGCTCCGCTGGATTAGCACCTTTGGAATACCATGCAGTGCAGCAGTCTCTGGGCTCATTCAACACTTGTCTGCTTGGAGAAATGACTCCCATTTGTGCCACAACGTGTGATGATGGTGATATTCCAACAGCCTGGAATTGCACCACCATAATTCACAAAAGCTGCACGTGTGAAACTAACCTTCAGCCCTAATGGCTTTAATAGGGTACACGTCAGTACAGAGGCTGTAACTCAGCTTGGATTGCTCCCAACAAGTATTAAAAAACGTTGGAGAAGCCTCTCACTTACTGCAGATGCTCCATTAAATCACCAGTAACTCTGCACAGATGCCATTTGAAGTATAATAAAAAATATTTACCTATTTCAGCCAACTTCTCATAGTCAATCTCAGACATGTTTCCCCTCAGGAACAAGTCTGTGCAGACTTTGCAGGATGAAATGGTCCTTGGGTCAGCCCTACAAAAATAAACAAAAGGAGCTGCCATGATAATGTGGCATATTTTATCCACTACACAAACATAAAATGAAAACAATTAAACAGCCCAGAAATCCTACTGTTGCAGAGGAAAAGCCTTGTCAGCACTTGCCCACCATTTTCATGCAACATATCATAGAGGTATTTTAAAATAGCAATCCAAAAAAGGAAAATTTATGAATTAATGACTTTGAACAAATTGACCTGGTTTCATTTCTGGGGGGTTGTTACTCAAAACACTTATATATTACACATTTTTAATGACAAGCATCAGAATTTCGGACTAAGTCGCTTCTGGAAACAACTTAAAACTTCTTTTTTGTCTTAATGTAGATGATCTGTACACTCCATATGCTTTCACCAAGTCACTTATCCTATAGCAATTCTAAGTTTCATTACAGGAAACATTCTATACCTCACATTTCACATGAAAGAGCTTCATGAAAATTTCAAGTGAGCATTAACATATAAAAAACCTGAAAAAGCAGCAGTTCCTGCATAATCACTGCTTTTTGTGAACCACTCTGTGGAGTGCTCTGCAAACAGAATATTAAGGAACACATCCGAAGTGAGCATCAGGAGAGAAAAACATGATTTAGAAGGTCTGTTTCCCCAAGCAGCTGCTCCAAAAAACAAAATGAGTGCTTCCTTTAAATTAAAAACCCAGACTTGAGCGTGGAGGTGAGAAAGAAACTGAGCTTTTATAACTCTCCTTTGAATTCAATTTAACCCCCTTGGTTTAAATCAGTTTGGTATCATCTGAACATGTTTTTTTAAAAAAAAAAAGAAAGGGCTTGGTCCTTGAAAAAAGGCAAACACAAGCGCGTTCTTCTCCTCTGCCAAGAGGCTGGAGTTTGTATTTCTCCTTCAAATCACTGAAACTGGTATTTTGGACCAAAAGCCTGCTTGCTGCAGATTCCACCACTTAGAAGATTTTTAAATATTTAGCAATTATTTTGTAACAATCTTACTTGTTCCTTGTTGAAAATAATTATCTGCATTTACAAGAAACTCAAATTGAAAGCCCATACACAGGGAAAAGTCCCATTAAGCTCAAAACAGAAAACTACTCCATTTCTCACTGAGCACCAATATTCTTAAAAGAAAAAAAAAAAGCAATTTTGGGCCAGATGTATTTCAGTTCATGCTAATTTTACCACATGGTATTCAGAACTGTAATTCCATTGTTGTTTTAATGTTGTTATTATTATTATTATTATTATTATTACTATTTCTAAAAATTATTTTTATTTAAAAATACTTAGTGGAACTTAACCACAAGAAGCTCTTTGTGACTTATGGTTATGTTTTTCAATATAGTTTCCATTGATCACCACCTGCCAAACTTTCAGAACAAAGAAAGCCAATGTTCAACATATCTGAGCTTCACAAACTTCATCCCAGCCAAGTATTTTCCAAAGCTCTTGCAAGGAAATGGGGCTCTTCCTTCTGGAGTGCCTATTTACCCCAGGCCTTTCCAGCCTATTGAATTTTAGCCATAAATCATAAATCAAGTCATAAGCCATAAAAATCAAGCTGTATCTTTGACACTAAAATGCTTTTCAGGCGATGTGAGTAATGAAACTCTAAAAGAATTGATGGAACAGGAAAAAAAAAAAAAGCCATTTCCTTGAACCCCTTTTTGAATGAAAAAAAATACAATCCTTCTGTTACATAGCATGGAACAAAAACCAGTTTCTCCTTCATACTAATTTCCTAATGCTAAGAGTTAGAAGAAATGGCTCCATCTAGGGAGGGCAGATTTAAATCCCTCCCAAAACCTGCTGAAAAGCATCTGGCTTTTGAGCAGCAAAGTTACTGTCCAAGTGAGAGCAACTACCACAGCATTAAAACACTTGCAAACATTTCCCACACAAAGTTATGGGGAAGGTAGAAATAATTCAGATGCAACTGAGGAATGAGGGGAGCGGGGAAGAAACCATCTGCCTGCTTTCCAGCTCACTCTTCCCTCGGGGCAGCAATTAGAAAAGTTTCCAGTTCCGAGGCAAATTTCGTGTAGCACCCTCGGGAATTGATTTCCCGTTGACCGCAGCGCTCCCTGTTCCTGGGAGATAACATAATCTCCTTAATAGCCTTCCACGCCACCTATCACTGGTTCTGGTGGTGCACCGTCAGATTTGGTGCCTCCCCCACCCCGCCCCTCCAAAAAGGCAGTAAGGAAAAAAGCAAGCCCTGAAAAGAGCTGAACTACAGGCCTGTTATTAATAATAGAAATCTGAAGCTGTTTTACAACGTAGCACATCCCGTATTCCTCCTCGTGCAAGGTTATTACTTACTGACATCCCTAAAAGAGTGTTACTCTGGTGAAAAGGGTGTTATTTTAGTGAAAATGAAGGCAGTCACACGCAGAACTGCTGGATAATGAACTCGAGAGGCCAAACAAAGGCAGGGGATTCCTCCAACATTTGTCAAGGCTCAGGCGCCTCTGATGCCTATTCTTTTTGTTCACTCAGCTGTCAGATATGTTCTTCTTCAAATGTAAATAGTGTGGTTTCTCTTCATTTTTTTCCCCCTGATGTTCTTGCCTTCCACTGATATTCTTTGTTACTCTTAAGCGGCGTGACACGGCTCAGGGTGTAACATCAGACTGCAATTTCCATTTTGATAGGATGAGAATTCCCTGTATCTGCTCAGGGGTATCAGATACAGAACCAGGTAAAGGAGTTCCAGGAGATTATTTTATTATTTACAATACTGCAGGAAATTTACTGTGGAATTGATAAACACAGCAATGCATGAGCTGAGTCCATAATGTACTCCTGAAACGTATTCAAACCATACTCCTTTTCTTCCCATAGTGCCCTAAATAGCATTTTGCCACAGTGTGTTTCCTACACAGTGTCTACCAAGTCCATATCTTTTATAAGCAGTTGATTTAAGGCATTTAAATCAGTTTATTTTCATATTCTTACCTAACCTACCACTCTTTGTTGGCTATACATTGGTGAAAAGCAGCCAGACCATGAATAGCAAACAGACACCAAGACTGACAGTGAGAGCTCTGGTTATTTGGGTCTCTGATGAAATAATTCAACAAACTGAGAAAAACCCAAAGAATTTGAAAGATGATGCCACACAAGTTGGTAAAATTTACAATTAGAACATTAATATTTTGAAAAGTTCAGTGTAAGTTTACAAAAGGTTCTACAGCTATGTATGGATATTTCAATCAAAGCACTATTATTCTTAATTGGAACTATATACATTCATTTCCTTATCACTTACTACAGAAAAATAGTGTGCTAATATTTAAAGCAAAATATTAGAAATATTCCTGCAACAGTTCAGCATTTACTGTGTGCATAAATTTTAATATGGTTTGGGCTCTCACATGGTAAGCTGACACCTCTGTTCTTTCAGAAATAAAAACAAAATCAGCAAAAAATTCATAATGGTTAAAACTGCCAGTTGTCCATACAAAATAACACCGTGCTGTATCATCACTACTCTGTCCCAGAAATAATGTAAGAACTTACCTGTTTTTAAGGCTAAGATGAAAAATATTATCTTAAAAAAGAAGAGGAAAAGTAAAAATTAAATACACATGGCCTTAAAAAGAATCCAAAGGCTTCATCCTTTTTATATCACATTAGTATGGGGAATTTCAACCTTCTTTTCATATAATGATTAGAACACCTGAAGGTTGCAGACCCTCCAGGAACAAAGGGATTGAAAAGTCCCTTACTGCAGGGAAAGTTTCCTTTAGTCACTGCATTTCTTAGTGCTACTCTGATATTTGTTGGAACAGAGTTCTGCCCAAAACTTGCAGGCAGATATTCCTTTATTTGTACAACTTACTAAATTATTAAGAATTCATCCCACTATATTTTTCTGCCTAATCTGTTAATAATGAGACCTGTCTGAACGAGTAAATGTATTTGTTGCACTATCTTGGTACTTATAATTAGACTGACAAGTAGAATTGTAATTCTAAGCAATGATTTTTCTTTGTGATACAGTGTCTGGTGAAGCTTCATGGCTCAGGAAGCTGCTGAATTTTCATGACTGAGTTACCAGTGTGAATTCAGTGAGAATACAAAGCAAACTTTATTTTCACCACATGGATGTGTAGCAGGGAAGATAGGAGAGTCTAGGAACTTAACAGAAAGAGTAAGGATTCTTATTAAAGATGATAAACGGAATTTTGAAGCATTCTCTTAACCCACATTGGTTTGAACCTTGTTGAGAACAAAAATTTAGTAATGTCAAAGGGAGAGAGGGAGGGAGGAAGTGGCTACATATTATATTGTACCTGTTCTGATGACAACTCAGACTTCAGTTTCTGAGGCCATCAACCAGCTAATTTTTAACCAGCACTGTGTTCACTTAAAACAAATGTCCACTGTATATAAAGCAGATGAAGCAACTTTTGCTACACTGTGAATCCTCAGCAGGGAGGACGATAAAAGTGTAGCACACTCCTGGAATCAAAGTTTAGTTTTTGTTGGACAGAATAATTTTTCCTCTCACAGAGAACTTTGAGGGAGAACAATTGAACTCAGTGGGCTGTTTTACACATACACACAGATTTGTATATTAAAAAAAAAAATCACCATATATCACCTAAAATACGAGAGATGCTGGAATGAGGAAGAGCTCCCAAAGTAGAGCGATGCTGCTTAGTGCAGCACACTCACACCCCTCTGTGGCAGGGGCTGGCCTGCAGTTTGGGATGTCCTTCACAGGCTGTCCTGGCCATGAACAACCCCAGGGGATGCACAGACCTAATTCTGGCCACTCACCTAACAAAACGTTTTCCTACAGTTATACACCACGTCCAACCTCAAAGTATATTGCAACCTTCTTTGTGGCCACTGTTGCAGGACAGGAGCAGGTAGGTAAACCTTAAACCTTTAAGTTCTCTTGTACTGCCCATCACCAGTTTTCCTCTGCCGGAAAACCAGTGAAGCATTTTTATTTCACTGACCACCAAATATGTAAGCATGATCTCTTCCCCCTA